GAAAATGTGCGCTCTTTTTTTCAAAGAAAAATGTTCTTCATCATTGTCAAGATTATCTAAGACTGAATCTGAGGGACATTATGCAAACCGCTATGAAATAATTATAATTTAAAAAAACTATCAAGAGGCTCATAAGCAAATTCATTCCAAATGCTATGTGTAAATGTGTGTAAGATATTTTATCTTTTGGTAAAAGTGTATTTATTTGATAAGCCTATTTTGTTTTATAATGCATAGATATGCAATGTTTAGTCATCAGAACCAAACATTATTTCAATATCAAATAATGAATCATGCTAAACTATTAAAATAATATTGTGAAAATAATTTTGTGCACAGGTTTTGGCAAACTAATGTTATAGTCCTATTTCTCTCCATGTTTCTCTCTTTGGTGGTGTGTTTTTGTTTTCTGTGATCAGTGCATGCATTAATGCCATCTAAGATGGCATGAGAATAGCTGTTGAAAACACAGGTGCTAGCGGTATTTAAGATGCTCATGGGTCTGTCTGCCTAGTGGGCAGAAGGCGCGAGATCAGAGCTATGCCCAACACTCCACCCCCTCCATTGAGCAGTAGAGAGGTGAGTTTCGGATGAACAAGCTAAAGTTGGGTTGCTTTCATGTTCTGCTTGTTTCAAATGTGTTATGGAATGGTACAAGTCAGCATTAAAGCATTTTCCCCTGTGCTGACCAGTTTTAAACGGTAAGCTTCAGAGGAGGTATGATCCCATCTGCCTATGGTTCCAAGTTATTGTTCAAACGGCTGGCTTATACACCACTTATCCTGTATCATAGCCTCTCGTGACCCCTCAAATACTATTTAATAGAATTACAGTTTTAAATCAGTAGTCTTAGAAAGGGAAGCATGTTTATCACAGGCCCTGCATGCCATGGAAACATCATACAGGTTCTTTATGGCATTCCCGAGAACAAATCATAGACTGCTCCCTTTTCAGTTTTGAACAGCATGGAAATCCCCCTTTTTTCATGTTCTTCTCTAATTTACTAAACACACACATATTCTTGTCCAAACCTATGGTCAAAACATCTAGTTGTTCTAATATGATCCTTTGAAATCCAAAATATGCCTCGAATTCCTTGAAATATTGTGTAAAAATGCATGCTTTGAGTAGCCAATGAAAATAGTTTCCAAATTGCAATTGAATACACCCTGAATTGTATAAAAATTATTATAATAATCCAAGTTTGCCTCAACAGTTAGTTACCTGTTGTCTAATAAACAATTGTTTTGTCACTGAAACACTTAAAAACACTGAACTTGTGTTTGTATGGCTCAGTATAGCTTTCTCCACCAATACTACTATAGGCTACAAATAGTTTTAATTCTACGTCTTACCTTTTTCAAGGCCTACTTGAAAAGGAGGGGGAGCGTTTTTAGCCAGAAGGCCCGGTCCTAACAAGAGCGCCTGCACTGTGCGCTGTGAAGCTGCGCGGCTGCTGCAGGTGCTGAATCCGGGTCAGAGGGAACTGCCGCTCTTTGAGAGCTGCATGAATACACACGAATAGAAAAGTTGTGTTCAGTTAACCGATGAAATCAGCGAAAAACAGGGCAGTGCAAGCCTTTCTCACTGCAAACCATGGCCAAATAGTTTGGGGCTGCCTCTATGCTTGCAAGGTTATGGGAATAGGACAATTAATCCATTATTCTGTTTGTTTGACACACGCACTATAGACCAGACACACAGCTAGGGATTGAAAAAAAAAACATGCCCGACCAATGTTGCTGCACTTGTCTCACATTCTCGTTTACTTTCTGTAGGCCTACGTATTTAGATCTGAGTATCACACACGCCGATTACTCCTGGCAAAGTTATTTTGTCTCATGATACATATTCGACTTGACAGATCACGAACGAAAGCCTGCACTAGTAATGATCCCTGATGAAACAACAGACCTCATCCACTTATAATTATAGGTAATATATGTTATATGTTATATATAGGCCCATGCCACGAGCAAAATGTCAACCACCTGCAAAGTAAAAAATGTGCCAAATGTCAATAGGCCTATTTGTATATAAGAAAGTTGTATTTTCTGAATAAGTTTAGTAAGAATAAATACATACAAGTTTATTTAACTTCCATTTAAAATATTTGTACGGTTGTGTGGGCCAGCTTAAATACAATTATGATCCACTTCTATAGAGACTATATGATTGTTATAGCGGACATCTGCGTTATAATCCCCCCCATCATTTTTATTGATAACAATTCTCTTCAGTTTCCGATTAATTTAATCTTCATCATGGCTGGGACTTGTCGTCGCCAATAAACGAATGTGGTCTGAAGGGGCTGCTGCGGTGATAAAGATCAGCTATGGTCTCCACTGACCCATGCGGGTGATAGGCCCTATCTTTCTGCTGCAGATGCATTTAAGAGTTAAAACGGGCTTAAATACAGATTTATCACAATCACAACTTCCAATGATTGCGCTCGAATCAGTTCATTTTTTTTCAGCACTTAGTTTGCACTAGGGCATAGTTATTTTTTATTAATGTTGTTTTAGGGTTGTTTTGGTATACATCTCACGGTGAGAAACGATATGAGTAACCGAGCTAGCCTATGGTCAGTGAAAACTGATTTAGCATCAATTGTGTCAAAACAACACGTGGATAGGACCGAATACGACATTGAGAATTTGACATGACATTCTCAGTAAAACACACACACATTACAGACACATTCAAGTACCGAGTTAGATAAGCGAGTAACATTGTATAAAAGTTGGTTATTGGTGTACCTTGTAGTTAGTTGAAGTTGTTATCATGTGAATATTCTGGGTTGGAATATTGTCAGAAAAATACATCCATATCTACGGACATTCCAATGAGGATCTTGGCCACGGAATGTATTCTGTTCTCACTATCACCATTTATTCGTTTCACTTTATGTCAATGTCTTTTAGTTGGACTAAGGATAATCATATGATATATTCAATACATGTCGCCTAGCCTTTTTGAAATGCAGCTCATTAAGATATTTACATTTCAGTCATTTAGCAGAAGCTCTTATCCAGAGCGACTTACAGTTAGTAAATGCATACATTTTCATACTGGCCCCCCGTGGGAATCGAACCCACAACCCCGGCGTTGCAAACGCCATGCTCTACCAACTGAGCTACACGGGACTATACATGTAAGATATCAAGAGTGTCAAAGACATATGACAATGCCAATGCCGATACAATTGATACACTACGTGCATACACATGCATTCTGTTGTGTGTCTTAAAAGTTCATGCTGTTGACCTGTTTAATTGTGCTGTTCGTTATTATTCCACCAACATAGAATAACATAGTTGTAGCCTCAGAAGTATATGCTCTGGCCTACTTATTTCTCCTTTCAAAAGAGACGTCCTGTCCCCACAGTGCATTGAACACTAATTATTTTACAGCTACAAAACATGTTGGACGGGTTTTAGAGAACGTGAACTCTGTCTAAGAACAACTGTAATGTACCATCATAATTATTTTCAGTTCACTTGTAAATATACAAGTTATTATGATTGGTTTTGAATTTAGGATAGAATGCAGGGAGAAAGCTTTTCTGGGGGGAATGCTCTTCCATGGGTAAAGAAAGGCTCTTTCACAATGGGAGATTGAGGCAGGGGAGGAGTCCACCATGCTTAGTCCATTTAATGGCGCGTTTACTTAATTTCTGTATTCACTGGCAACCATAAACAAAAGGGGAAACGGGACTCTGGTTTAAGAGCTAGGCCTACATTACTCTGACGTTTACCATAACACATGCATATATTTAGGGGGAAAAATATTTTTGTTCAACATCTTGTGTATGGCTTTGGACACGTAGGCTATTTGTGTCGCCTAGTATCGTAAAAGGACCACAGCATGCGCATCAGAAACATCATGCTCGTCTGAGCATAATATTACCACTTCTCAACATATATGCTCATCAACGCTTGATGGTGGACAATGAACACTCACTTAATAGAGAGACTTAATGCAGAATATATAAGAAAATGGAATACTGTATTTTGATTTAGAAATATACATGAACATAAACACGCAAGAAGGAAACCTTGAATAATAAGCGCTTTAGGCGACGCACGGGGAAATATACGACTGGAATTGTCATTGAAGAATATTCCAATGTTTATATTAAATCGTTTTGCATAACTGTGACTGATAACAGGTGTATCTAGCGTCATTATCCATGTTAGGTATAAAAACAAACTACCTAACAAAACGTATAGAGCACTTTTTTACGTTTTGACAAATATTTTATGTAGGAACACCAAGTCAAGAAAAGTGAACAAGGATAGAAAAGATGGAGAAGGGAGAGCAACATTATGTACAAGCATATCTACACATATAGGATATTACAGACCGGGAGAATGATCGCATTATTTACATATCTACACATATAGGATATTACAGACCGGGAGAATGATCGCATTATTTACATATCTACACATATAGGATATTACAGACCGGGAGAATGATCGCATTATTTGAGATATACATAATTCAATATAAAATCTTGAAATAAAAATAAAATCTGATACAGTCATAACGATTCGGTTCCACATTTCACCATTCACCCCAGACAGGCAGTGACAGAAGTGTAGTAAAAAGGTGCTTATAACGTAAATGATTGTCTGATGATCATAAAGTAAAACAGGATTGCATCTTGGCTGAGCGGCATCATCACTTGGACTAAAACAGAGATGAAATGGCGATAAACACCCTCTGGTAATTAATTCCCTCTTCTCGATGATCCTTGTAGAAATATTGAACAGGGTATTTTTCCCAGATACAAAAAAACATCATGCAGGTAGTGGTGTGTGTGTGTGTGTGTGGGGGGGGGGGTGGTGGATCCATTGAAAGCGCTTTAAAAATACGTGTTTTAAAAAAAATATTTTTTTAAATATTTATATCAATTGGTCCTTTTTTCATCCCCGATATTTCATAGGTTTTTTTCTGGTCCATATTTCCTGTAAATATTTCTCTTTTTTATATCATACGTCGCACTCGGAGTCACTGGAGGTTACTGAAAGAATGGACGTTCCAGTGTCAACTCGCTCTGTCATACTGGAGATGCTGGTAGTAGGACTGGCCGCGGTAGACGGCGATTCCGCCAAGCTGCGTGGAGTGCACCCGGATTCTGAAAGGGACCGCATACCGTTCTGTCCTATTCCCTGGTGCTGAAGTCTGGAGAATATAAAGAAAGGGAAAATAACATACCAATTAAATACAGTGTCCCTCTGCAAAATTCCGCTCAGCCTGCTTGTCATTCACTCCCTGCCATGCCTTTAACAAATGCAGCTCTCTAGCCTTCATATAGGCCTAACGGGGGTAAGAATAGTCTAAAACAAAGCAGAAAATAAATATGAAATATGGGGAAATATGACAGTGTATATTAGAGTAATAGGCTGGTTGTTAGTTATTCTTAAACCATGGCCAATGTAATTTGAGAACTGTCTTTTATCGTTGATTTTGTCATATCCTACATCCAAATGAATGACAGACTACAGGCCTACATCCAAATGAATGAGAGACTCCATTTTTCTGATTGTTTTGATTTACTGACACGTCAAATGTGGAATAATTGCAATCATGCTAAATGAATCAATCCATGATGTAGGCCTCCGATTTTATCACTGAGAAAATGCAGATGAAAAAATGTAGCTGTGTTCTTCTATTCAATTTTTTCACCAACTTTTCTGTTTTTATTCAGTTCACCAATTTGTCATTAATTATTGCATTGCAAATGTATAATAGTCTACACACATTGTGAATCGAAAACATGGCTGCAAAACAGGCTATAATTTCAGAATAAATATTTTGTATTTATGTTGACAGCTAATATCAAATGTTATGCATCAATCATTTCCAAACGTCTAAAGTCTAATGTATACGTTTCGTATGTGTAAAAAGCACCACGAATAAAAAATAATAATAATGGTAACTGAACATACATTCATTTTGAAACTCTAAACCTGTCCCGTGTAGCTCAGTTGGTAGAGCATGGCGTTTGCAACGCCAGGGTTGTGGGTTCGATTCCCACGTGGGGCCAGTATGAAAATGTATGCACTCACTGAAAAACTGTGTCGCTCTGGATAAGAGCGTCTGCTAAAATGTGAATGTAATCTTTTTTGTGTGTGGTTTCTTAGTCTACACGGGCCTTTTACAGCTGCTACATGTATCGTCTATTATTTTGATTAAACAACTAACCAATAACCTATTTGATCGTAGGTGTTTTGTTTTGTTTACTGTTTGTGAACAAAATCTATATCACCCCTGCAGTGTATGTCAAGTTTTCAGACCAAAACGTTCACTTGTTGAGAGAAGATAACAACACTCTGTTGGGTTTCAAGATGAGAATCAAGTAAAAACGTAGTATCACCACAACATGCTGTATTCCAAGTTTAACAGACATCCTTATCAATCAGTATTTGCTGTTTTGTCTGGAAAATAGGACAACTTCAAGATTTGCAGTGCTGCTGATTTTCTTTGTGTGTACTTCCTGTTTTGTTATCTAACGCATACATTGATGTTTTCATTTAGCTTATCAGGGATACTAGCATACCAGCGTAGCCTAGCCTACACGTTTTCGAATTTGGAGAGAGTTGTGTGTTTTACGTATAAGAATGTTTTACGCACGAAAATCTTTGACACATATTAATATATTTTGGATTATTTTGGACAGCAATAATAGTTAGATGTTTCTGTACACGCTTTGAAAAAAAGGTTATATATAGAACCGCAAATAACTATTTTGTGTAGCCCCTGATTGCATAGGTAAATGAGTTGCTCATTTCTAACCCCTCTATAACCTTGTTAATTACTACGATTAAGTTTTACATTTACATGGTATATTTGCATTCAGCTTACAGGAATTAGTTTAGCCTATTTGGTCCTGTTAGCCTATGCTTTGACAAATGAACAGCGCACTGACCTGTTTTTTGCTGCCGCGGCTCTGTCTCGTTGCCTCCGGTTTTTAAACCAATTTCCGACTTGTGTAGGAGTGAGTCCAGTGGCTTGAGCCAGTTCCCTTTTCTTGCTAGGGTTTGGATATGGGTCCTGAAGGTACCACTCCCTTAACAGACCGCGCGTCCTCTCTTTGAAACAGTGCGTCTTCTGCTCCCCGTCCCAGATGGTCCTGGGCAGGGGGAACTTCTTCCGTACCCTGTACTTGTCAACCGGTCCTAATGGGCGACCGCGCAGCTTCTCGGCCTCCTGGTAGTGTGCCTCCAGCCACATGGCCTGCAGTTTGCCATGGGAGTCCTTGGTAAACTTGTGGTTCTCCAAGATGTGATAAAGGTCTCGGAAGTTCCCGGTGTGGAAAGCAACCACTGCGCGAGCTCGCAGGATGGACTCATGCTTGTTGATCTGCTCGCATGCTCCCGGTGCCACCGGCAGGGACCACAGGAATCGTCCCAGCCGTTCAATGTCTCCGGTTTCCTCCAGCGTCTCACAGACGCTCGCCACTTGCTCCGGAGAGAAGTTGAGGGTCGGTAGCGCAAACATTGACAAGTCTTCTGGAGACCTGGTGGGATTGCTGCTCGCCAAGAGCACAGGGCGCTCAGTGATGTTTGGCAGGAAGAAATGGGAGGGATAAAGCTCTAAAGGGGATCTGAAAACCATGGAATGACCTGAGAGAGAAATACAATTATCAAGAAAAAGAAACGACGAGTAAAGATTGTAAGATTCAATAGCTATCGCCTAATGACACCAGCCTCATAATATCTCCCCCTAAATCCACCGTGAGTGTAGCATTGAAACATTTTGTTTCACTTTTCTATTGGTCTTCTTGGTGTGGTTGTGAGGTTGTCATGGCAGCCCTGCCAATCACTGTCAAGCGTGCCAATCATAAGCCAGTACGTAGACTAGGGCTTTCACCACTTCTGTTGCAAGCACTGGGGGTTATCAGAAACTCCAATCTCAACACTACCCTCCCACTGCACAGCTCTCGTGAAGTATAAGACAAGGCTTGCCTATTTGTTGAATGGCGATGAGCAATTAGTGGGTGGAATATTATTGCGATCTTAACGAGGCTCATTAAAGCTAAAGAAGATATGTAGGGGAGAGATGCTTAGGAGGGGTGCTTAGTGATGACAATCGGGCAGGAACACGTTTGAAAAATCTGTTTGTAACAGAGTCAATTCACACCATATTTTGGGGTAGTTTTGCCATTTTGCCACATGTGAACCCTTTTAAATTTTGGTGAGGGACGAAAGCAATCATTTAGGCCCATGGGGCGACTAGGCTATAGGTTTTTGTCTAAAGGCTATGGTATATTGCGCAACATGCGTAAAAAATAACGTTATTTAAACGAAGAAAACATAATATAGTCAATTTGATAAGGTTTGACATGTCTGTCTGACTTACTTCCGAATATGAATCGGAAAACACGATATGTCAATATTATCGTGACAGTCTGGGCACTTGCTTTGCTCAGAGCCCAGCAGACAGAGTGCCTCCACCCGGGCTGGTGAGGGTGTAAGGCGCAGTGGCTCACCCTCTAGTCGGGCTTGGCCTCGGCTGGTATTAAGCAGCAGAGCAACCCTGGCCCACTGCCCAGCGTGCGTTTTTCCAAAAAGTGTTTTCATGTTAAATAAATATCTATGCGTTGCGTTGTAATAATTAAATGTTGATCAACTGGACCATTTCAATTAAGAACGTTTTGCCAATGGTATTGTCTTTGATGCAGCTCTTTCGCTGTAGGCCTAGTAGTTTTGGCGACCATGTTTCAAATTGTATCATTTTGGTGAAAATGATTAGTCTGCCACAATATAACCTAAAGAAAACTAGGCGTATTACATTATTTCATTTTCACAAACTATAGGCATGATCAATAACCACATATGTCACTGGGTTCGGTTAAGAGGCCACTTCAGTAGCCGTAGCTCTGTGGTTTTCATGTTTATTACAAAAGCGACTGTAGGCCTACTGCCTCCTATTTTGTCAGGGCTTAGTTGGTGTTAAAACTGTGAGTTCGCAGTCACGAACAGTGCTCACATTGTATAAGCGCATGTATTAGACGTAGTGAAACACAACATCTAGACTTCGGCTAATCCGGCCTCAATCAAGCTGACATAATTATCCTATGCCGCCTTTCTAAATCATTCAGGAATTCAAAACGTTTCCTTCTCTTTCTCCAGCCTCAGATGTTTGCATTCCCCGCCATCTTCCTACCCGACCGGCTCCAGCATAACGGAGAGTAAGTAGCATGCACATTTGTGTTTTCATTTTCAGTTTATCATATTCACTTCCTATTACAATTACTGTGAGTTTTGTTCCAGTGGCTGCATATACCATATTTATACCATTGCTTTGTTTTCGTGTGTGTTTGTGTGTGCTATAGGGGTGGGGTTTTGATCATGTTGGAGGCGTTAGGGCAGGTTGTCTTTGGGATCAAACCTGTTTGCTCCCTTGTCACACAAAACTCAGGAGAAGTAATTTCAAGTGGCACTTGAATTGGTCCAATTGGAAAGCTTCTTGGACTGGAAGTAACCTAGGTTATTTCCATGCTGGCTATGGTCGTGTTAAACTAACCCCCCTCCTTCTCGCTGGGCCAATATTAAGAGGGGGCTTAACGGAAAGTACTCTGAATATTTAAAGCTGCTCTGCTTGTGTCTCCGGTCTACACATTTACCTGATCAATATGCATGGACTCCAGGTATTACGTAGAACTATGTTTTTAAGGAGACGGAGCCTAGTTGTAAGCAGCCCTCGCAGGCAATTCGGAAATCACTTAGGTGAAATGTAAAACCTGAATGGGTTTGCAAAGCCAGTGGTAAATCACATTATTCTTACATAGCCTAGCTTTTGTTTACGTTAAGCATGTAATTAACACCTCCAAACAAGTTTATTCACCTGGCCTAATTGTCTGTTTATCCTCCAGCTTCTTAACGATAACCAGCGGGAGATGCGTTATTCAATGCGGACGAATCATTAACTTGATCTTTGTTTATTTACTGCAGAACCCCGACGTGACAATACAGGCATGAGTTAGGACTAACACTAAACTGAGAGCACAAATATTAATTAACCTTGACTTGGGGTGATTACTTAGCGGGGATTTATTTATTTGCGCCCATTGACTCTGAGCTCATAATTTCGGAAGTTAGGCTATATATTTTTTCAATGTTCCAAGTGGGGAAATAAACAAAGATCTTAGGCTACGTCATATTGTGAGAGGGGGAACCGAGGCACTCAATGAAAAGGTAAGAAAGCATTCATTTTTATTTTCTTCCCTACTTAACCTCGGCTTCTCAAATGATGACCAGAAAAAGCCTGCTACACCCACCCCATCAACATGCATGCGTAATTTTTTTGAATTTTCAGGATAATGACTGAACAGAATGCAGCGAGGGTACGTTGGCTACTTTCATCTTTTGATATATTTCGTTTTTCTGACGTATGCTTTTTACACTGCATGGTCAAAGATTGAGATTGTTTTATGACAGGGTCTTGGTCACATGCTGATGTGGGCAGCGACACAGTTTCTCTTAAAGTTCCTGACTGAACTCGCAATAGAACGCATTCGAACTTTTAGGGTGACATTTTGTCAGATTTACCACAAAACTACGTTCTCCATCAGTCAGCGTAGTTGTTATTTTTTCTCTTCTTCTGCTTCTTCGCTTTTTTCTTCTTTCTCTTCTTCTTTTCATCCTTCTTTCCCCTTCTGCCTTCTCTCCTGTTTTAATCAGGTTTTAAACGGCTGATTGTCAACGATGAACTACAGGGACCGGACTATGTATGCGTTATTTCTTGAAGAAATCCGTTTGTCCAAGCGCAGCGGTGGAAATCCTTTCCGGATCCTGTAAGTTCGTTAGTCACACACTGGGCTCTGCCTCTAAAGTTGACTATTAATTGCTTTTTAAATCTGATTGAATAAAACGCTTGTTTAAACCTACTTTTTAAATCGACTTTTTTGAGAATAACCCAGGATTTGCGCAAGACGCACACTTTGTATATGCTAATAGTGATGCGCTCACCCAAATGTCTTAGCCTATTAAATGTCGATAGACGCATGAAAAACGTTAACATTTAAATTACATGATTGATTAGGTATATTTCCATGTCAATTTAGTGTCAAATAATATGATGAAATCCGATTAAATTTGGTTTGATGCTTTCGTATCTGTCTTCATGTAGCCAAAACGAGCACCAGTCTACTTCAAGTCATGCACAGCAAGAGCTGCTGCAGCTGTGTGATGCTGTCGGGATGAGGCGCAAATACCCCTTTCTTGGTTTTCTTAGCACCGGCTTTCAGCCCTCTCTGCTGGGCGTCCAAACGTGGTTTATAGCGCTGGACTGGAGCGTTAATTTTTGATTGATCTTTCAGTAGCCTATATCGTTTGTCTTTTTATAATGATGATGAAATACACACCTTGAATCAGACGTAGCCTATCTTTATAGACTGAAAATATATATTGGCTATTGTCTGTACTACATTCTTATTGGCTATTGATACCGCCTGTGTAGTACTGACTTGGCACATGGTATCGGGAGGAATTGAGTGTTTGTCCAAGATAGAAAGAGTGAGAACCAGTGGGGTAGAAGAGAGACTGTGGATGGAGATTACGAGATGGTTGGTTACACATGCAGGACAGGTGACTATGGGTATTTTGGACAAAAGTGTTTTCTGATTATTTGTTTTAGGGTCTAGAAATCTGGTTATTAAATTTAAAAAATACGAAAAGTTCCTAAATTTGAAACCAGTGCAGACTAATTTTTAGTTTAGAACCATCCAAACCATCCAGATCTATAGGCCTATGCTACACTAACTCTTTCACCAAACTCCAAATTATTCGACTGTAAAGAGTTTTCCCCAACTTTTTTGTGTGGTCTCATTAAGTGGGCATCCTGCTAAGTCTGCGGGGTTATACAGGAGCTGTCCAATCAGTGTATTTTCACGGCTTGTTAGCGACAGTTAATGAGGGCGATCCGCGCACGGACAGAATAGCGCCTCAATGTTAGATTTACCTTGTGTCAACTCGTTACTTCTAATGAAGCCATTGGAAGCTTCACAGTGAATGGAGCCGGGCGGCTGGAGCTGTAGGCTCTCTTTCTTCCGGTTCCTCTAAGGAGGGCTTTCGCTGGACTGAACTCCATGATGCGTGTATCAGATGGTGGGGGTGCTCTGAGTCATTTGGATTTCAACAAGAGAAAAGGGAAGTGTGTGTGTGTGTGTGTGTGTGTGTGAAAGAAATCACCCCGTGTAATATCGCAAGCTGCTATCGTGTATTAGCCTACTTGGTCAATCAGGTTTGACGTGTCAGTTTGCCTCTCCAACAGCTCCACACATGCAGGCGCTCCCTGTGCTTTCTCTTGGCCGGGTCCCTGTGTGCTTTAAGTCGAATCAACAACACATCATTACCTCTCAATTCAGGGAAAACAGCGTAGTTTCTCAAATGCCTTTCCAAGTGTGCTTCCCCTCACTATTCCTGCCCACTGGGGCACCACTTAAAAATCAATTAGTCTTTCATTTCCTCAAGTAAATTAGACTATGTGAGTCATATGGGCTAATAGAATCAGATGTAGCCTTCTATATTGGATTGAACAATACACTAATTAATATGAAATAACTCATCATGCTTTAAGGACACGGAGATGTAGGTTTAGATCAAATAAACACGAGAGTCAG